TTTTGCAACATATTCTTTACTTTACAAACTAAATTAGAGATGAAGGAATGGGAGGTTGAAGAACTAGAAGTATTAAACCAATTTCTAACTATTAAAGAATAAAATGCATATAATGGTCTGAAGAATACTTATCTAGAATTAAACGTGCAACTTGTTTTCTAATATAAATTTATCTATCATATTACAATTTTCTAATGCAATCCGAAAAGTTATATATTCGGTAAGTGCTGGAAAAACACGCAAACCACATGAGATATAATAAACTCATCTAAAACAAATATTAACAACAACATTCATCAACAATAAACTTTAAACAACATAGAACTTTTATGTGGAACAACAACAACATCAACTCATAAAATGTGTCAGAAGAATCTAAAATGAAAGGAAATGAGGATGAAGCTCATTTTAGCTTCATCCTCGTTAATTTTTTTCATTAACCCATCCATCCATACCTACAACGAGTAGAAATATAAACAAAAATATAAGCAAGTCAAAACATTATGAGAAAAACAAGAGATGAATCAGTGAAGACGGACTAAAACTGAAACATAAACAAGTCAAAATTACTTCATAAGAGTGGTGAAGACGAACCTGAAGGTAGCCATAGGTTTGAAGAAGACAAAATTGATGTGTAAGTTTGAGGTTTAAATATAGCTGAGATGAGTGACATGGATGTTAGGGTTTTGTTTTGAGAGAGAAGAGTAAAATATGTTAGGCCTTTCTTTTGAGAGAAAAAGTTGTTATGTATTGAGCGAGAGATAATTTCACTTATATATAAATAAGTATCACCTTTCACTACATTTGATAAGACGAATCGTGATGAAATGATCAAACTTTATGTTGACTAAAAGAACCGTGGTGATTGTGACGATAAATGAAAAATTATTAGAGTTGGAATTCGAATCTTGTAACTACTAGTACGTTTTACTACAATTTTTAACTATAACCACAGTGAAATGTCTTTTAATAAATACAAGAAAAAAATGTCTCAAAATAAGTTATTATCACACTTATCATGGAGTCATTGTAATATTGTGTTATAAAAAATATTTTCTGTAGTAGTGGAGTATGTACCATCGATATGCTTGATGATGATTTATTGGTGGCATTCAATTTTATTGAGACAAGTGACCAGAGTGATCAAAGGATGAATGTAATATGGATTTGAAGAATCTATAACAGAACTATTGATGTTATTTTATTCGTTATTAATGTTGTTTGACTGTTTTTTATTTGAATTTTTCTATAGTGTTTCAATTCTTAGTGTGTGCTCTGATATCATCTTAAGATAGCAGAGAGAAAATGCAATATAGAATATGAAAATGACAAGACAATTTAGAATGCAATTATATATATAAAATATAAAGGATATTTACAATTTATTTACAACAGAAGATATTTATTTACAATTTATTCACTCTTTTATTCCTCCAACCATTTATCCCAACTTGTTTTATCTTTCAATCACATTGATTTATTTTCCTTCGCATCTTTTCTTAAAACAAATGTATTGTTCAGACTTCAAATGTCACCTAACAATGACAGTATTTGGTCATATAATCTATCCTAAAGTATCACATCAATTCTATTTAGAACTTAATTAAAGAATAACACAAAATAATTATAGTTGTGTTATGCTTTCTCCGTTTATATCGTTTAAGATTTTTACATATAGATTAAAGAATGTAAAAATATTATTATAAAATATTGTATTTTTATTAAATTAGTCTTATTAATATATTAAAAATTGTGTACGGACTAATAATTAAATAACACAATTGGAAAAATCATAATCATTGCTTAAAAAATGAGAATGACATTTATTTTAAAACAAATTTTCTCTCGATACTCATTTTGAAAGAGAGAGTATATATAAGCTGGTACTAGATAGAATGAGATCAGATAGTCAATGTCACACTTAGTAGTATTCTAACTCTACGTGAAAGTTCGAGGTTGAGGTTTGTAAACAGTTTACAGCCTCAACCTATATTCTGAATAAACTTCTTGTTTTCTTCTTGCTCAAATGAGTGTTCCAACTCACAACTTCATGTTCCTGTTCATGCACATATAAAATGAAACTAATATCAGAATTAGTTGAAAAAACTATCTAGCTTTTCTTGATAAGGTTATTTCTATATCTTTTTTTGGAGAATAATGATATTTGTTTTTGTTTGAAAACGTTGATGATTGATATATTAAAATTATGGTGTAATGACGATATACCTGGGTGGGAAAGGAAATGATGATATGTGTTCTTCATCATCATCATCATCATCATCATGATCATGCATGGTGTATCAACTAAGAAGGAATTAATGAATGAGAGAAGAATGCAATGACAGAATAGTTTAGTAACATGCTATTTATAAGCACCCGGGGACTCTGCAAGCCAGTACCAAACATTCTTTATTAAATAATATTTTTAGTCATTCGAGTTCAGTTGATAGTTGTAGAGAGATCTGTTTATAGATATACACGTCTTCTGAGTGGGAATAATAGAGTGGTAGTTGGATTGAGTGAAAGAGAAAATGAGAGACAGCAACCATTCCTGTAAGAATGATGTCAGAGGTCACTCAACCCCCACATTTGACAGCAACTATTTTTGTTTCATTTATTTTGGTGGAAGTTGAGACCCATCTCTCGTGTTTGCGTTGAAGGTCAAGTAACCCAACTATACATATTGTCTACTCAATATTTTACTTTTGCAATCTTTTGCAATATATGACATATATATAATCAACTCATAAATTTCTATTTCTATTTTATTAAATTTATATAAAATAAATTACTTTTTGTAAATGAGTACGTGATAAAACTACTAAAGAGAGGTAAAGAGTAATTTTGCTGCAGATAGTTTGAATTAAATGGAGAGAGATAACTCTTTGGAGACTACATGGAAAAAAATGCATATAAATGAAAAGCTGAAAATTATAAGTGAGTATACATCAAAATATATAAGTGAGAGAGAGAAAAAAAACCTAGTAAACTATCTCTCCCCTCAATGAAAGTGTTCTTCTTTAAATTTTGTTTGGGAGTTTAGACAAGATTTTAAAAAATGAATAATTGAGTAAAAAGGAATTAAAGAATTTAGATAGAATCGTTTTTATAATGTTTTCATTTTGTTAACAATACAAAAACTTTTCTTATTTGAGGAATTAAAAAATTATATTTGAGTTTTAAAAAGTTTTGAAGAGATTGGATTTTAATATTTCAAAAATTAAAAATATATTTTCAAAAAATAATAAATATTTTTTCATATTTCTTTCAAATTTTCTTTTTGAGAAACCCTTTTTTTCTCCCCTTTTTGTTTGGGAATTTAAAGTGGAAACGAGAAAGAATATTAGACAAAAACAAAAACTATTTAATATTTTAAAAAAAATATATGTAATATAAAATAATAAATATTATTAATATATTTTTATTTTAAAAATATTATAAATAAATTATAATTTAAGAATTTATTCAAAATAATTTTGTAGTGAATTTTGTATTTAAAAATAAAATAAAACTCTCCACTTAAATTTCTCAATATATTTACTGCATCAATTCCTTTCTTAAAAAAAAATCTTCCTTCAAACTCTTAAATAAATTTTTAGAGTATGTTTGTAAGTTTGGGGGAAAAGGAGGGAGGACTTTGAAAAAAATAAAAAGATTGAGTAAAAAGACTTTTTTTTTAAAATTTTCTTTTATTTATAACATTAAAAACAACCTCTTAATTATAAGAACCTCGAAATTTATATTTGAATGAAGATTTTAGAAGATTTATATAAATTTTTCAAATATGTTTTATGTTATTATAGTATTTTAAAAATTAAAAATATAATAATAATAATTATCATTCTATATAAAATTATTTTTTCAAAAAATATCAAATATTTTTTTGTAATTTAAAAAAAAAAAACCCTCCCATCCAAACTCTTTGACATAAGATTTAGAAGAAATAAGCACAATTTAAAAAAAATGATGAAATTAAAAGAATTAAAGTTTTTTCTATAATTCAAAATATTTTTAATTTGAGAGAATTTAAAAATCATATTAAAACGAAAAATTTAAGATTTTATAATGCATCAATAAATTTTATAAATCTATTTTATATTATTATAATATTCTAAATATTACAAATATATTAGTAAGGTTTTATTTACTATTTGCAAAAACACAGTTAAAAGAAGGCAAATTTTTACGTACCTATAATAAGTAATTGGATACCAATACAAATTAATTAAAAATTCTAATTTACTTAAAAATAAAATAATTTAAAAAGTGACATGACAATAAACAATCTTGTTTGATTAGATAAAAATTTCGATATCCAACTAAATTCAAGGGTACAGGAGTGTTCACCAAACATACTTATTTTTCTCCCAACTCTTCTCCTTGTAAAGCGCCTCTCTCTCTCTCCCGTCTCTCATCCAGACTCCTATAAGAACCTTAATAAAAAACAAAATGGTAAGGAGGGTTGGACAAATCAAAACTTATGAGTTGTCCTTACAGAACCATTTATGTTTTACTCAGTTTTATTCTAGATTTTTTCTAAAAGTTATTTTAGCTAAAATAAACAAAATATCGAAGATAAACGCCAACACAATTGAGATGCTTATATTCCATCGGGATTCTGTAACCATAAACAACATAATATTTGACATGAGCTAATGCATTCTTAGAAGGTCAAAAAACAAAATATAAAATAAAATAATCTATGCAAAATACAATCAAGACTTGCATAGAAAATGGTGAAAAGGGTAAAAATGGTACATAACCAGAACTAAATCACATCAATTGTCATGACTAGTTACTCGCAAAAAACCTTTTCGCTACAACTTGACAGCATTGAACAAAACTAAGCAGTATTGTTGATAATAGTCGAAAAATTAGCATCCTTGCTGCAGCTATCAATCTAAATGTGAGCCGGACATGTTCTAGCTAGACATCATGACATGATCAATAGCCTGCAAGGCTTGCTGCAGCTATCAATCTAAATGTGAGCCGGACATGTTCTAGCTAGACATCATGACATGATCAATAGCCTGCAAGGCTTGGGTGGAAAAAAACCGTACGTCAACATCAGGATCCTCGCTGAGCTCAACCAGACACGGTCGAATTGTCTTTTCTACCACCTGAATTGCAATGGTGTTCATGGGATAGATAAGATTTATGACAGACAAAAAAAGGATATGTGGATGGAAAACACAAGAAAGCGTGATACTTACAGACTGATCAACGATGGGGAAGATGGACTCTAATACCTTTGCCACATTGAACTTTATGTTGGGCACTCTACATGGGATCAAACAGCCAGGAGTGAGAAGCTTGAACGATTATACTGATCCTTACTCTATGGTGCTATGATGGGAACTTTCAACAATTGAAATAAAATACCTGTCTTTTGATGCTGCAACAACAGCAGGTAACAATTTTGAACAAGTGACTTCAGAGCCCATTACAGGGGCTAGCAGGGAGATGGCGCGGAGAATGGTCATCCGATACAAATAGTGTGGATTGTTAGTCATCTCCAAAACCTATTTCCATTCAATCCAAAATGATACATGTGAGGTTTCATTTAGGAGAACAGAAAATGTAATAGCAGATAGAGAGCATATACTTCAATGATTATATAATACAGTGAACTCCTTGAAGGACCAAACAGAGGCCAGAGCCAAGGAACACAAAGCTAAACATAAAACTCATGGCCATCTGTGGAAGCTAAATTAACATAGAATGGAAGATAATTCATAAAACCTGTATTTCATAATTTTAGCTGCAATCAAAAATTCAATTGTCATATTCACGACTGATGACCACCTTTTCATTTTCACACATGACTTCAACTTTAACCAAACAGTACTAGGAGCAGATAACTGCTGTGCTTAAACTGAAAACAAACCAAGAGGACTGCTGGTTCTTCAGTCTCAATCAATACCGCAGAAAAATGAGGAAGATTTTCACTGCCCCCTACTCCACTTCCCATGATTGCTCATGAGCAACAACTTTCTTCCACCATTCCAATTGAAAACCAGCAGGTTTGTAATTCATTTAAAATATGGTTATTTATTTCAAAAACCGGCAGGTACATCAACTAATTGTTATTAAAATTTCATTCAAATCAAACAATAAAGATACAGAAGTACACAAGGACAAAATAATATTGAGATACATGGTAGTATACCATGTGTAAAGAATAAATGACACAAATAGATGAACCTGAGGAATTATGTGCTGCATAGCCCACTCAGGACCAAACTCTTCGGCTAGACGTTTCAAGTTGTTAGCAGCTGCTTCACGAATTGAATGAACCTATACAAACAAGAATAGTAATGTGAAATATGCAGTTTCCAAAATGCTACCATACTAGCAAGGAAGTGAAGAGCACAAACCTTATCCTGTAACCACTGCATGCAAAGAGCACCCAGTTTATCATCAAAAAATCCAACCCCCAATTGACTTGCCAACAAGGGTATATACTCTATAATTGCAAGCCGCACCCTCCAATGTCTATCCTCTGCAAGCTCAACAATGGCGGGTAACAATGATTGAGACAACAAATCGATTCCAATCACCTGTAAGAATAGCTTGATCAATATGACTTTGAAATGTTTGCTTCGGTAAGTATATATGTGTGGAATGCAGATGCAAGGGCAAAAACAAACAGGTTAAGTGTGCTAAATGATATCAGAGGAAAGGAAAAGGTTATCAAGAGTTTATAAGCATTCTGGAAATTAAAACAACTCCAGAAACTATGACAACCTGATTCACTTGATCAAGCTTGCTGATGATGTTTAGGCGCACATCAGGAAATTCATCCTTCAGAAGGGATAGGAAAATAGGAAGAAGCTGCTCAATTGTTGCTTCCTGCATTGAAGATAAGGTAGGACTAAGAACCACATTTGCACTAAAAGCCACTAGTACCATTATCAGGAAAAAAATTCTTGAGGAAAATCTTTTATTGCACAAGAAAAGAAAGGCAATAGTTAATTGAAAATCTAAAGCTACAAGATTAGTTGCAGAATTATTGCCGCAAGATTAGTTGCAAAATTAAATTATCAATATCCAGTAAACTTAATATAAGTTTTCATACTACCAAAAGGAAGAAGCAAGATACCGTAAAGTATCTACACTAAGCAGCAAACATAAAAAGATTGCTAAGAAACAAAGGAACCTTTAGAAATGACACATGGAACGTGAGAGAAACAAGGCATGACATGTGAGACATTACTAACATTCACCTAGCTTATGACCTTGTTAATTTAGAAGCCATAAACACTGCTTTATACCTAGATTTAACATTAAGATATTTCCTTCGTTGCAGACGGGGAGAATGGGGAAAGGTGATGACTTAAAAGGTGAATATGATTAAATACTATTCATGCTTATCAATCCCACGGCATGACATATGCCTTTCCCATTTGCAAAAGACATATTGTAGTAGCTAGTTGTTTAGATCAATGGCCTACACACCACAATCAGGTGATATATATGAAGGCAGTGAAATATACAACCAAAACTCAGCTCAGTTTTATGAGTTACATACTCAGAAAAAGTATCTATTTTAAGGACCAAACTCAGCTCAGTTTATGAGTTACATACTCTGGAAAAAATATATATATTTTAAGGACCCCCAACAACAGATTTCACTTTCGAGATACGGATACTGTACATCAATGTCAAAGTCAAAATTACTGCAGAAACTGCCATCCGACACTTATACCTTTCCTAACACTGGAGCCATTCCCATTATTACTGAAGCCAGAGCTGAGCGGACATGTTGTGAAGAATCTGATGACAATTCCTGCCAAAGTTGATCAATTTAGAATGTTAAATTACACAACCAAAAAAAAAGAGAGCCTTCATATATATGGTAACACATCCATCAGAATTTCTCTCAAAGATGCACACCTTGACACAAGGAAGAATATGCTGAATTGCAAGATCTGGACTTAAAATCCGGCAAAACTTGGTCACTTTCCCAGCAGCTGCTATGCGTACCTCAGCTTCATTATCTCGAAGCAATCGAACATAGGCAGGAACCAACTCCGCTCTTTGCAAAAAAAAAAAATTCTACATGTTAAAACACACACAGAGAGAGAGAGAGAGAGTATTGACAGGGTTATGTACAGTAACTGTAATATCTGACAAAAATAATACCTGGTAGGTTCAGGGCCTACAGCTTCACAGAGCTCATACAATTGATTTGCAACCATGTAACGCACACGCCACGACTTATCCTGCCACAATAAAATGAATCATCAACTAAATAATTAGCTAAAAGTATTTGGTAAGGTGCAATATAACATTGTACAAATATGTAAATCCAAAAATCTATGTGATTGGGAGTAGGGGTGTGCAAAAAAACTCGTTACTGATAACCAAATTCATATCCAAATTGCTCCATTTTTTAAAACCCAATCCAAATATTAAATATTGGATTTGGTGGTCCATTTATGGTCAAAGTCGTAAACCGGTACCTATAAAATAGTTATTGTGTATCCAAATTTCTTTCTCATCAAATTTTTCTGCTTTTCATTTTTTACACTTTCTCAAGAAAATAAGCTCTACACATTTTCATAAAAATTGAATGATGTTTAACCTTTTATTTCAAATGACTAATTATTGAATAAATGTAAAAATGTTTAATTATAGTTAAAAAATATGCAAACACTCTCAAATAAATTGAAAGATACAGTAGACTAAACATTGAAAAAGCAAAATAAGAAATTCATTTGAACTTGATCCCTTTTCATTCAATATATACATGTATTGTATAAAAGAAAACGAATGTGGACAGTGATTTTTCTTTTAGGATTGATAAAACAAAAAGGATCATTTAAACATAAAAATGTTTTAAAAAACGGTATGTCACGGCCGCGACAAAACATTTTGGACAGATGTCGATACAGATACCGTTATATCCGTTTTATATTAAAAAATAAATTATGATTAATAATTTACACGGCGACGAACACAATCAATATCGTGACACCTCTATCGACCAAAATTGCAAAAACTGCAACACGAGCGCAATTATTTTTTAAAATCTGCTTAAAATTAAATTAAGGATGTGCTTTGTTAATGTTTAAAAAAATTAGTACTAAATTAGTTTTAAAATTTTATTAATTAAAATGAATTGAATATAAATTAAATTATATTTAAATAATTTGGATTAAAATTAAAACTGGTTTTAATCCGGTTTAGAACCAATTATGTCTTTCAAATCGGTTTTTGTAATTAATGGTTTGGTTTGTAAACCATAACCATAAAAGTGGATTGGATCACAATATATGGTAACCATGCACAACCCTAATTGGGAGTTGGGAACTAAGACGATGGAAAGAAAGGGGACATTTTTTGGTGAGGGAACTAAGAGCATGTGTGGATTGTCTTATTTGAGCTTATTTGTTGGCATAAGAACTTGTTCGACTGTTTGGAAGAGCTTATGAAAACTTACAACATGTTCCTAAGTTTTTTCCTAGTTTTTTTCATAAGTTCTCCAGTATAGCTTATGAAAACAACTTATAGCGTATACAAAAATCATTTTATTTTATCTTTTGTTATAGAAATAGATTATAATGAGTTCAGTTTTCCTCATTTGGATATTTAAAATATACATTAAAGAAAAGGCCGGGTGTTTTAATAAGAAAAAAAATATCACACAATTATGAGTTTATTATCATCTCTAGAAGGGGATGTAAACCATTGAATTCAAGTTGGTAGGCCTCAGGGGTTTTGTGTGACAGAAAAGTACTGCTTAAACTGAAGAGAAAATTTTATCAAACATCGGTATGACTTGCGATGTTGTACGGGACATAATGTTGGACAGCTAAGAATCAACACAAATAAAGTGTAGCAAAGATGAAGATATTGCGTTGGATGAGTGGTAAGACTAGACGGAATAAGATTAAAAATGAAAATATTAGTGTGTTGAAGTAGCACCTATTGTAGAAAAGATGGAAGAAAATAGACTTAGGTGGTTTGGACATGTAGAAAGAAGACGTATAGATTCAGACAGTCTGTTTTAAAGAGAGTAGATCAGATGAAAAAGAGTCAAGCAACTATAGGTAGAAAAGACTTAGAAAAATTATAAAAGAAACTATTAAGATCTCGAGATTAATGAATTGGATAGAAATATGATCTTAGATAGAACACTATGGCAGAATTTGATCCATATAACCGACCCCACTTAATAGGATAATGCTTGGTTGTTGTTATTTAGTTTTAGAAAATGAACTCGTGTCAATGTTTATGTCACTTAAATGAACCAAGAGGATTTTTGTTTCCTTACTATTATTAGCATTGACACTTACAATTGATACTTACAGTCTCTATTAAATACTTAGCACCAATATATAATAAATTGATTTCTTTTCCCCAAAATATCTCAACTGATAAAGTTGTCCGTCTTCTTTAAATTAACTAATTTACTTTCCTTTTAATTTCTAGAGTTAGAGTGGCTATATTCAATAATTAGCGTCTACATATACTAAGGTTTATTTCCCCAAAATATCTAAACTGAAGTTTTGTCCATCTGTAAACTAACTCTTGTCCATCTTTAAACTAAACCAACTCGTTTATTTTTCTTTAGATATCCATATCTCTTGTCCATCTTTAAACTAAACCAACTCGTTTATTTTTCTTTAGATATCCATATGGTTAAAATTGCTAAAGTATATCCCTACTACAAACACTGAAGTTTCAGTAGCAAGATTGAAAAAACAACTGCATTTATGTGGTAGTCTTGGATGCATAGGAAGGGCGCTACGGTACCGGCATTAGATACAATATACAACAATTTGAAAAAATAATCAAGGTCCGGATGCGTCAATAAAAATCATGAGGTATTTTTTAGAGTATTACATGAGAGCTAAATTGTTCCAACACTTCCACTCACAACAAAAACATCACAATAAAAGTTAAAAATCGAGTCTAGTTACAAATTACAATAATAAAAAACTCAGATACACAAATAAGATTATATTTCTAATATATGCCAAAGCCACAAATTTCATTCGCAACGAAATAATGAGAAAAGATGTAGCACCAGACGCGTACAGGTACTTCACCATTTTAGAAGTACAGATGCTTCAGAGGGTATTTTCTTCTCTTCTGTTGCAACTCATCATGTACAGTACCAAAATACATTCATGTGCTTTATTAGGCTATATATCAAACTAGGGGGTCAAGATGCTCTCCATTTTCTTCCTTCTCTCAACTCCAAACTAGGAGGTTAAATAATTGAAGAGTAATCAACTCAAGTAGCCTTTCCTCCCCATCCCACCCTCCAAACCTCTATTGATGACAACAACACTTCACATATGAAGTATCCATCATAATTTGGTTTTAACCCGTGCATTATGCATATATACAGTAAAGAAAAGATTAAAAAGTTGAGGATTGAATGGATCTAGATAGTAGATTATGAATCTTTATTAGAGTGTACAATGAAGCAAGATAATTGAAGTGTAATTAAACCAAGTAGCTTTCGCTCCACCTCCCACCCCCAAACATCTATTGATGACAACAACACTTCACATATGACATGTCCATTATTAATTTGGTTTTAATCCGTGCATTATGTATATATACTGGAAAGAAAGCGAGATGAACGTGCTATTTAAAAATCAATTGATAGATAGCCATATTTGTTCTGATAGATCGAAAGAGTAGGAATTAGATAGAGGGGATCCATCAATAATAAGGGGAAACCCCCGATTTCTATCTATTGATAAGACAACTAGTCTGAACCCATCAGAAATAAATCCATATGTATCTGATGGAGTCTACATCGTACGTAGAGTGCCCAGGCACCAGCTCAATTCTCTTATCCATCAGTCCAATTCACTGTCATGGATGGAGGGAAAAGCAAAAATCCAGTTGTGTAGTTGTTGTTCGCCACTTCGACGCATGGGACTTCCAGATCACTATGGCCGACTTTCGTTTCTGTCCAACCAGTCAGTCTCAGTGAGGCAGGCTTATACCATTACGCTCACGAGCAGAATCTTAGCTTCAGCCTACCTTCGCTTCTAGGGCTATCGCACTCATTATTTTGTTCTAGTATTAGATAGTCAAGTGGTCATTTGACTCATAACCTCTTTGCCCCTTTCTATACCTATGCTCTTCACCGCTTCACCTGTTGCTATCCATAAATCACTGGCATTCCTATCCATAAGCATAGTGGAATTTTCTCCTATTAACTCAGAATTGTCAAAATTCAACCTATAACCCAATACCTTCCAGCTACTTCTTTTAGATGAACATATATACATGGTAGTCAAAATTAAGGTTTTAATCGTACAAATACATGATTTAGCAACTTTGACTGCCCTCGGAGATTAAGAGTCTACATAGAATCGGATTATGGTGAAATCAGGTGGAATTGCAGTTGTTAATGGTTAAATTGTATGATCTGCGGTCTTCCTATGATTTTGGTTAAGGTGGCGCAAGGGTTAACAGCCGCATGGCACCCGTGTTAGGGTTGGAGAAGACCCGGGTTTCTTATCTGCAGGTCAGAATAAGATTTGTATCTGTATGTGGGACAAAAATAAAGTTAAATTGAGCTTTTGGTTAAAAAAACATGAGTATTAACTTCTATTTATTTTTACTTAGCAGTAAAACGTCTTGGTTTCCCATCATTTCTCTCCAGTTTTCCTTCATCTGATTCACCCTTCTTCTAGGGAACAGCTCTCTTTTTGTGCACAGGCTCTTCTTTGTTTCTAGTCTGTTGTTGATCAAATGGCTGACATTGAAGACCATCTCTAGAAGAGATAGAAGAAGAATGTCTTAATAAGTTGGATGGTGAATAAAATAGAGCAAATGAAGATTTACCGAGTGATTATGATTTTCAACTTGAGGATTGGTTGTTCTTGGTGATTTTTACTAGTTTAGTTGTTTTGTTTGTAACCTGTAGTTATGAGTTTGCAAGACTTTATTTATTGACTTATTCTTGCTTATGCATTTTTTATTTTCTTTGGTTTCCTATATAGGTTCCCTCTGTTGGAAGTAATCCTATTTGAGGAGTATAAGAAAATAAAGGGCACTAAATGTGGGTACCTCTACCAAGCGGGATTCAAACCTTGGTTTGCCACATGTATTTGAAATGTTATTTACAGTTTTCTTTATCTTGTGCTATTTTATATGAATATATATGAATTTATATGCATATATATGATTTGTATGAATTTCGTAATCTTAGGAGTCTTGTTATGATTTCACGTTAAACAACTTTACTTCCCCTTTCCGATTTTGAATAAAATCTTGATTTCAAAGGAGGGAAGGAGGGCTTTCCTGGCAGTTCTTGTAATAAAACTAAAATAACTAGCTAAGGCTATTGATAACTTGGGATAAAAATAATTTGAAGGCGGCATATGACAAGTCACAAGTAATATAACGATAGAACTTAGAACATAAAACCTCTAGAATAATTACATAATTTTGCAGCTGAACCATCTACCTAGTAAATATGATATGAGCATAATGAAGAAAATTAACTAATTATAGATGAAGAATAGTTTTATCCAGTTCCATATGTACCTGAGAGAAATTAACAATAACTGGGAGTATATGTGCAACACAATCTTGTGGCTCCAACAATTTTCCAAGAGCAGCACATCCTTCCACGGCTAACAATCTGACAGAGTCTTGATCTGATCCAAGTAAAAAATACAATTACATGTTAAAAAGCAAAGCACATTCAGAAATATATAGATAATAGACTTCGCAACACAATCGAGCAGCCTAGCACATAAACTAGACAGTGCACAGACTTTTCAACCTAAAAAGAATATAAAATGTTTATTAAGTACCGTCTTGAGTAAGATCGTCAAAAATTGACATGATGTCAGCCTTCAAATGAGTATACTCAACAGTTGCAGCGAATTTCCCAAGATTTGTTGCAGCAGATCTTCTAACCATAGGCATGTCATCCTGACATAACTGACTGTATATTGATCTCAACTCTGTCTTTGTTGCTTCTGGGGCACTAGGGTAAGCAATATGGAATAGACCACATGCAGAGACTCGAGCAGTAAACCATTCACCTGCTGCCAATCTCTGAAAACAGAAATCATAGCATGAATTGGATATAGACCCATTCTACTAACATAATAAATGGGAACTAGCAGGACATAACGCATCTTAAATAATGCTAGAATCTATATACAGTAGCTAAATTATGAAGTCAAATAAGGTGCTCATCAAGCATCATTGAAATTTGCATAGATCCATTAATCAAACTCCATTTTTCAACAGTATCAAAACTGTTCACATCATAGAAACTTATCAAAATCCAGGAAAAGTAAATCACTGTGATAATCAAAACCACATTAATCGCCAAAACTATGAGTGAAAAAGGGAAAACATTAGGTAGCATTCATGATGGTTTCCGAGTAAAGTAACCGTAAAATCATTTAAATTGATGAAAACAACATTCACTGACCTTCACCAACGGTATAAAATATTCAACCAAATCACTCTCCCTCATCTGAGATCCAATTCGACAAAGCGACTCAACAGCTTTATCCCTCACACACGTCTCCTCAACACTACAAAACGCCTCTAAAGGCGGCAACAACGCACTAGCATGTTCCACTCCACCAACATAAGGAATGAAAACTCCCAACTCTTCCGCCATCGCAAGAAGCACCTCGTCATCATCGTCGTTATTTTCAGTCAAAAACGGAATTAATTCTTTCCGCGTTCGCTCCTCCCCAAGCGCACGCGCAATCGTCGACAGCCGGCGAATCGAGTTCAACCGCAGTTGGATGTCATCGTTTTTCAACTCGTCTATAAGCACCGCTATTGGATACAGTGGTTCATCAGCCATAGACATTTTGTTTTGTTCCCAATTGTTCTGAAAGAATAAGTAAACCAAACTAATCGCATCGTTTATTAGAAATTATCAACATAATAGAAAGAGGAAGAAGAAGAAGACGAAGAAAGTACCGTTTTCGCGCGAAAGAGTTGATTTCTTGCGATTTGGCTAGCTACGGAGACGTAACTATCGGGGAATTGAGATCTTGTTGGGTTGAAGGAGAGGAATGAGGGATTGAAAAGGGATTTAGTGGGGGTGTGGATGGAAATTGAAAACCCTAAGACCGTGTGAGAAGAAGAAAGAAGAAGACAATATTAGAAAGCGAAGTGGTCACACAGAGAAATGGAACTCGCTGGGAGAATGCTTCTCGAGTTAAACGCACCGTTGCCCCTCGCACGTGTGTGACTTGTTTTCTTTACTCTATTTTATTTGACAAATTAACTCAAATTAACTTATCACCCCTATTTTTATACATGTCATCCCTTAAATTTCATTATTTTCAAAATACTTATTTTATTATTTATTTTTTAAAAAATTCCATTGATCAAAGAAGTCAAAAATGAAATTTTCGGCGATTTTGGTCGTTTACGAGAAATTATTTACATTCTATAAATTTTCGATAGCGATTAATCAGAAATTTCTAAATTTTCGGTTACATTTCACTAGAAATTTCAAAAAAATTGTGTCAATTTTCTAAAGCTAGTACAAGTACCGAAAATTACGCAAACTTTCGGTAGAAAACGTTAATCGAAAATTTGAAATTTTCAAAATACCGAAATTTTCAGTTATACTTAAAATTTCTGGTATATCTGCAGATGATAGTTTATATCTTTGGAATTCTGAACCGGCAGCGTCAGCTTCTTCTATAGATTCATGTACTAATATTACGCAGTTCTTTATTACATATATGGTATGGTTCTTGTTTAATTTACATATTTTTTGTGTTTTTTGTAAATTGATGAAGTTTACTAATTATATGTTGTTGTAATTGACAGATTTTTGAATCGCGAGCTAAAGTTCTAGAATGGGCACAATCTATTGATAAGAATCATGGTATTGGTGTTGTTACAATTCGTCTGATTCTGCTAATGGACTGCGAGAGAGGAAGGATAAATTGATTATGGATTATGATAGAGGAGGAAATTATAAAAAGAAAAATGAATTTGAGAAGTCGTCTGATGGCAACTATACTATGAAGGTTAAATGTTCATTTAGACTGAGATCTGTTTCAAGTGGTATCGGTTGGAAGGTGATGGTTAGACTTAGATGTGGTTTGTACAATCATAGACTAGATAAGAATTTGGAAGATCGTGACATATTGGGTCGTCTAAAAGATTATTAAAGAAAGTTTATGATGAAGTACAACATGACACCAAGGTACATTGTGTCTGCTTTGAAAGACAAAGACCCATAAAATCTCATGAGTATTACTCAGGTATACCGAGCTACAGCAACATACAAAATGGGCAAGAGAGATGCAATGACAAAAATGTAAATGTTATTGAGCTTTATTCATCAAGAGAAATACATGTGTTAGACTAGAAATAGGGAGAATTCAGATATTGTGGGTGATATCTTCTGGATACATCTTGATTATGTGAAGTTGTTGAATATGTTTAATATGGTGTTAATATTTGATTGCACATATAAGACAAATAGGTAAGAATTTTAATTCTCTCACTCTAAAATATGATTGAGTAACATAGTTGTTTATGTGCATTTTATTGTATAGGTATCGACTACCATTACTAGAGATTGTTGGTGTTACATCAACAAAATTGACGTTTTCAGTTGCTTTTGCTTATTTGAAACATGAAAGGGAGGAGAACTTCACATGGGCACTAAAGAAGCTCAAAGAGTTCTTCTATTCAAAGAAATTGCATCTGAATATTGTGGTGATGGACCGAGAACTTGCATTAATAAATATCATTGATTTTGTGTTTCCAAATGCAAATCATATGTTGTGTATGTTCCATATTTCAAAAAACGTGAGCATGAAATATAAGGAGTATGTGAAATCAGAAAGACAATAACATGTCATGTATCAATGGAACAACATCATGTATTCAAATACAGAAGATGAGTTTATTGTATATTTCAACCACTTCGAGCGTGTTTGTGGTGATATTTTATCATTTGTCAAGTATGTGAATGAAACATGGTTAACACCATATAAAGAAAGATTTGTTGTTGCATGGACTAACAGAGTCACTCATTTAGGGAACACAACAACAAATATGTAAATTGGACTAACAAAAAATATGTTTATGTTTAGATATTAATTTGAAAGTTGTTTGGATAATATGTTCATGATTTTTAGGATGGAGTATGTGAATTGGAGACTAAAGAACTTGTTGACTACAAGTCGTGGTGATTTATGTCGAAGTTGGGATGTTGTGAACACAATGTTGAAGTTGCAACTAGGTTACATCAGAGTGTCGTTTCAAAAAAGTATCGTCAATATTGAGCATCGGTATAACACCCTTTTCTATTCTAAATTGCACATTTTTGTCTCGAGACAATGTATACAACTCATTGGAAAGGAACTATAAAAAATAAAATTTATTGGTGAAGGCAAGGAGAGATGTGGTTGTTACATTAGAACAACACATGGGTTACCGTGTGCTTGTCAGCTTGCCAGTTTCTAAATTTTTGGCACACTTATACCTTTGGAATCAATTCATGTATTTTGGATGAAATTGCACATTTCAGAACATGATGTGACTCCTGATGAGAGTAATTGGAATTTAGAAGAAGAGTATGAAGAGTTAAAGAGATATTTTAGTACTTTGGATATTGTGGATAAGAGGGTATTGAAAAAAAAGTGTGTGATATAACTTATCCATTCACAACTTTAATGTGTCCACCGTCAGTGAAATACAAGTCAGAGAGGGAGTTAAGAAAAGTAGAAACGGTGAGGAGAGTGATGTGCATCATTATCCCAGCCAGTGGAAATATGATGCATCTTCGCAGGGGAGTCATACTACAAAGAGATCATGCATAAAAGCCATTGGAAGTCAATCGTCGACCATGCCGATTGGTAAGAAACTTTCTACCAAATCTTCAAGAGCTGAGTACTTGTCATAGTTTTCTGCTTTCTTTCATCCATACATCGATGACATAATTGATGTTGAGAATGATGGAAATTGTGGTTTCTGTTGCATTTCATCTTTATTAGGATGGGGGCAAGATACATGTTATTCGGTTCAGAAGAAGTTGGATACTCAAGTCCATTAACATGCTAACTTGTTTTCCAAGTTGTTCTATGACATTGTCTATGTTGTTAGGACTTTGTTACGAGTAAAATACTTGGATGTGCAGGGTAGGGATAAATGGATGTCGATTCCTAATATAGTTTACCCTATTACTTCTAAATATGGATTCATATTTTTTTCCCATTCCCATGAGACTTAACATAACACTTTTCCCACTTCGCATAGCTTCACCCATGTACACGAGTCGACATACAATCATTGTTGTTGGTTTTGTCAACGAAAATCATTGGGTTCGGCTAAAGTTGAAATCTAATTATCCACTATCTCTTGTCACTGCTTGTTGGAGGGAGAACTGTTCTAATGATGCAAAAGCATGGGAATCAGCATATGCGGGTTATTCCAGGCATTGGGAAGAATTGTTTAGGAAGTGATTGTAGTTTTTTTAATCATATATGTATGACATTTATCCTATTTATATATTAAGTCGGTTCTCTATTTTCACTGTGTATTTTATTTAAGTAAAAGTAAAAAAAGTTTCAGTACTATCGGGAATTTTAAATTTTCGGTTTTTTCGGCACACTGAAAATTTCAAATTTTCAGTTTCTTATAAGGATGAAATACACCAAAAAATTTAAATTTCTGGTTTCTTATAAGGATGAAATACACTTGAAATTTGAAATTTTCGGTTAAATTCATATGGCACGGTAAAAAATTGGAAAATCAACGAAATTTTTGATATTTTTCGTGAAATTTCCGGTACGACACCGAAGATTTTAAAAAATCCAGTATATTATAGGGACAGTTTCACAAAAGTGTCAAGAGTGGAGGGTGACATGTATAAAATAGGGGGTGACATGTTAATTCCTCCTATTGTTTTTGGTTAGTTATTGTTTTTTTACGAGTAGAAATAGTGTGACAAATTTAGAAAATAAAATAGTTTGAAAGTGTTTTTAATGAGAAATGCAATTTAAGATCAACATTCTCTTTTAAAATTTTTAAGATAATTGGAGACAGGGCTCTATTAAAGAGGAAGTTAGATTAAAAATGGCAATTTCTCATTACACTCTAACATAGTGGGACGCATCTCTGAAAACTCCAAAACACTCTTAGATTTATTCGAAGATACATCTCTGAGCACACCAACATTTTTTGTCAAAGTTTAGTTCAGAGATGCATCTCTGAATATATCCAAGGTTAATTCGCAGTTACGTCTCCGAAGTCACCTTTCTTCCTTAGTAAATCAAACATATGCCACATTTCTTAAGAAAATAGTTCGGAGATGTATCTTCGAATTATGTGTGGAGTAAACTCGGAGATACATCTCTGAATTCTTGCCTGAATGTTTCTTGTGCAAAACCAGTGTACTAAGATTGTAGTTTTTTTTAATCCAGACTAATTTTAAATTGATTAACATTGTCATTATTTGTTTCAAATATTAATAAAAATGAATATCATATAACCGAGTAATGCGTTAATTGTGAGCAACCCCTTCATAATTGGTTTTGAAAAATTGCAAATATATGTGAAATGATAAATAAATGTTATCTACATGTGTGCATTATAAAAATATAGTATAACATGTTTAAAATGAGTTAAAAATGTGTTTTACACATAAAGCATTATTATGAGTGGACAAAACCGGTTTTGCATCGACACATACTCAAGCAAAGAATCATAAAAATGATCCAGCTTCAGTATGAGTCGACACATCCATGCTATACATCGACTCGTAATATGTTGATGCCCCTGGAATACTATCTTCAACTATTATGCATCGATACAAAATCTCATGCATCGACACAT